TGAGGCCATGGCCGCCGAGGGTGGAGGTTTAGAGCCTGCTGGGGGGCTCAGGTGGCCCAGCAGTGGTGCCGGGCAGCAGGGAAAGGAGGGGAAAGGGGCCTCATTCGTTCTTTGTGTCTCTCCTGGAGGCTTCTCGTCGCCACGGCTGGACGCGGCTTGAGAAGCTGGTGCTTGAGGGGTCCAGGGGCCGGACCGACCTTCTGGGGCACCCGCGGGGGCGCGAAGATCATCGCGCCGAGCGCGTCGCGGTCTCGGCCAGGGCGTCTGTCCCTCTCCGCGGGGGCTGGCGCGATGGCGCGACGGCGCGAAAAGGTTCGCGCGTTGCGCATGGCGCTGCGCGAGGCGCGAAGCTATAGGTCGCCCAGATCCCCCCTCCCGACCGACTTTTCCGGGGCCCGTCCAGCTCGGGCCCGCCAGCCGCCTCCAAACACGGAGGTACCATCGGCGAGACGGCGGTGGCACGCGAGCACTCGCTTGCCATGCAGCCCGGGCCCCTGTACGTGTACATGACCACCACCACCACCACGGGCAGGGTGGCCCAGGTTCCGCGGCCGGCGTGCGTGCGCCGTCCCGTGCTTCGGGGTTGGACAGAACCCCCAACAGGGACACGTCGATGAGCGAATTGTCCGTTTTCGGGTCTCGAGAGGGCGCCGTGGCCGTTGTTCTCCAGGCTTGCGCCCGCCAGGTCTGGGCCTGGGGCCGTTTTCACTAAACCACGTTTCACTATAAAGGGAGGTCTGTCCATCCCCGAAGAGAGCCGATGTCGTGCTTCTGGTCAACACGCGGTCCCCGGAAGTCTCGACCCATTCCCCAGGACCGGCTCTGCATCCGGAGTCGTTCTGTGGCGAGCCCGAGGCCCAGCGAGGGCCCCGAGGGGCCGAAATTCGTGAAGAACCCCCGTCTTGATTTTCTCAGTGCGTTGGATCTCGGTGATTTTTCAAACGACGCGAAGATCGGGGTCGTTTTCACTAAACCACGTTTCACTAAAGGGAGGTCTGTCCGTCCCCGAGTGTTGGCGTCTCCCAAAGCGTCGTCGATGGTCGACTTGGGAGCAGGGCCGACGCACTGCGCACAAGGCACCGTGCTTGGAGCGGGGCCCGAGCTCGGCCACGCGAAGAGAGGGGGGGCAGGGGGGGAGGAGGAGGAGGAGGAGGAGGAGGAGGAGGAGGAGGAGGAGGAGGAGAGAGGAGGAGGAGGAGGAGGAGGGAGAGGAGGAGAAGGAGGGAGGAGGAGGGGAGGAGGAGGAGGAGGAGGAGGAGGAGGAGAGGAGGAGGAGGAGAGGAGAGGAGGAGGAGGAGGGGGGGGGGGGGGGGGGGGAGAGCCTGCTTAGAAGGAGGCTGCTTCTTAGAGGGCGCGGGCTGTGCCCAGAAGTGTAAAGCCGGCGCCTTCCGAGGAGCGGCCTCCTTTTAAAAGAAGCCTCCCCCCTCCCCCTGCACCCTTGTGCGCGCCGCCAACTTGGTCATGTGGTCCCCATTGTTTTATTCCCTGATGGGCCTGTTTTCCATCACCACCATAAGTTGGAGGGGGAGGGGGTCCTCCTCCCTCCCCTCCTCCTCCTCCACCTCCTCCTCTTCTTCGTCCCCCCCCTCCTCCTCCTCCTCCTCCTCCTCCTCCTCCTCCTCCTCCTCCTCCTCCTCCTCCTCCTCCTCCTCCTTGTCGTCTTCCTCTCCCTCCTCCACCTCATGGTGGTGGTGGAAAACAGGCCCATCATTCCCCTCCAGAGCGAGGGAGAGCCCGCGCGTCGCGGCCCAGCCGCGTCTCGGGCGTCTGGAGGCGGGCCAGGGCCGTTCTGAGGCCGTCTTGGGCCCTTCCCTTCGGCGGCGACCTCCGAAGCCCACCCTCGCCGACCCACGATGCAAGCCCCTCCTCATACTCGCCCCTGCCCGCCGCCAAGAGGGTCGACCTGAGCGGTGCCGTGGCAGTCTCGTGGGCCATCTCCCCAATCAGAGCTCGCCTCTACAGGGGTCCTAGCGGATCCATATGGCTAGGTTAGCTGCGCCGCCGATTCTGGCGGCCCGCCCGAGTGCCCGGGTGCCTGGGAGCTGCGTCGCCGATTTCGGCGGCCCGCCCGGGTGCCCCATAGTTTTATAGCCCTATTGCCCTATTGCCCTACAGCCCTATAGCCCTATAGCCCGATAGCCCTATAGCCCTATAGCCCTATAGCCCTGTAGCCCTATAGCCTTATAGCACTATAGCCCTCTAGCCCTCTAGCCCTCAAGCCCTCTTGCTCTCTAGCCCTCTAGCCCTATAGCCCTATAGCCCTATAGCCCTATAGCCCCATAGCCCCATAACCCTATAGCCCTATAGACCTGTAGCCCTATATAGCCTCATAGCCTAGCCCAATCGCCCTTTAGTCCTCTAGCCCTATAGCCCCATAACCCCACAACCCTATAGCCCTACTGCCCCATAGCCCCAAAAATGATTATGATTGGGGGTTCTCTCCGCTATCATTTCGTTTCGACCTCGTGCTTCAAGAGGTCGGCACCTCGGGGGCTTACTTTGCCCGTTCACCGGAGATTCTTCTTGTTCCCCGAGATCCTGGGGTTCTCCGCCCCTGGTGCCTCCTATTTGTACGTTGCCCGTTTCCTGGAGGTTCCCCGGGTTCCTCGGGTTCTTCGGGTTCCCTGCCCCCGGTGCCTCTTATTGTCACGTTGCCCGTTCCTCGGAGTTTCTTCGGGTTCCCCGGGTTCCTCGGGTTCCCTGGGTTCTTCGGGTTCACCACCCCCGGTTGCCCCCAAGCAGTGCCAAGCAATGCCAAGCAACAAGCAGTGCCAAGCAGCCAAGCAATGCCAAGCAATGCCAACCCATGCAAAGCAATGCCAAGCAATGCCAAGCAATGCCGAGCAACGCCAAGCAATGCCAAGCCATGCCAAGCGATGCGCCCAGCGATGCGCCCATGCAATAGGCTTTCCCCTAGTTGGGGTCGCGCCAGGTTCATGCAGCACAGGCGGGTTGAAGACAAAGCGAGGGAAAACGAAACCACAACGAAGAGACGAAAGGCACGCCCAAAGTGCACGGGCGCCAAGAGTGAACGGGCGCCGTACTCTCGCGGAGGTGACCCCTGGCGGGCAGGCCGCCTGGAGCGCGGTGCGGCCCGGGTGGCTTCTGAAGTCGGTGGACGGGGAGCACTACACGGATCGGGGGAACGCAAGACGACGACGGCGACGGCGACGACGGCGACGACGACGACGACGGCGGCGACGACGACGGCGACGACGACGGCGACGACGCCGACGACGACGACGGCGACGACGACGGCGACGACGACGACGGCGACGACAACAACGGCGGCGACGGCGGCTACGGCGACGGCGACGGCGACGACGACGGCGACGACGGCGACGACGACGGCGACGGCGGCGGAAGCGGCTGCGACGGCGACGGCGACGGCGACGGCGACGGCGACGACGGCGACGGCGACGGCGACGGCGACGAAGACGACGGCGACGGCCACGACGACGACGACGGCTACGACGACGGCGACGACGACAACGGCGGCGGCGGCGGCTACGGCGACGGCGACGGCGACGGCGATGACGGCGACAGCGAAGACGACGCCGACGCCGACGACGACGACGACGAGGGCGACGACGACGACCTGAACGACCACGACCCCGACGACGACGGCGACGACGGCGACGGCGACGGCGACGGAGGCGGCGGTGCCAGCGGCGGCGATGTCGACGGCGATGGCGATGTCGACGGCGACGGCGACGGCGACGGCGACGGCGACGGCGGCGGCGACGACGACGACGACGACGACGACGCCGACGAAGACGCCGAAGACGGCGACGCCGCCGATAACGACGACGACTACGACACGACGACAACGACGGCGACAGCGACAACGGTGGCGACGACGGCGGCGGCGACGGCGACGGCGACGACGGCGACGATGACAACGCCGACGCCGACGCCGACGCCGACGACGACGCCGAGGACGGTGACGACGAAGCCGACGCCGCCGACGACGACGACGCCGACGACGAGGTCAACGACGACCACGACCACGACGACGACGGCTAAGACGACGACGACGACAACGGCGGCGGCGACGGCGACGTCGTCGGGGACGACGAAGGCGGCAACGGCGAAGGCGACGCCGGCGGCGACGACGACGACGACGCCGACGACGACGCCGACGACGACGACAACGACGGTGACGACGATGACGATGCCGACGACGATGACGACCACGACCACGACGGCGGCGCCGGCGGCGGCGGCGGCGACACCGACGGCGTCGACGACGACGACGACTGCGACGCCGACGCCGACGCGAAACGACGACAGCGACGACGGCGACGACGACGGCGACGACGCTGACGACGACGACGGCAAAGACGGCGACGACGACAACTGCGGCGGCGGCGGCGGCTACGGCTACGGCGACGGCGACGGCGACGGCGACGGCGATGGCGAAGGCAGCGATTGCGACGACGACGGCGACGCCGCCGACGGCGACGACGACGCCGCCGACGCCGACGACTACGACGACGCCGCCGACGACGACAACGACGACGGCAACGACGCCGACGACAACGCCGACGACGACGACGACGACGCCGAAGACGTCGGCGACGGTCACGACGACGACGACGACCACAGCAACGACGACAAAGACGGCGACGACGAGGATGATGACGACGGCGGCGGCGGCGACGGCGACGACGACGCGACGGCGACGGCGACGTCGACGGCGACGACGACGACGACCGGCGGCGGCGGCGACGACAACGACGATCACGTTCACGACCACGAGAACGACCGCGACGACGACGGCGGCAGCGGCGATGGCGACGGCGACAGCGACTGCGACGGCGACGATGACGGCGACGACGCCACAGACGATGACGACGACGACGACGTCGGCGACGACGACGACGGCGACGGCGACGGCGACGCTGACGGAGACGGCGACGGCGTTGGCGACGGCGACGGCGTTGGCGACGGTGACGACGACGAAGGCGACGTCGACGACGACAGCGACACTGCCGACGACCACGATGACGACGACGACCACGATCACGATCACGACCGCGACGACGGCGAAAGCGGCGGCGGCGACGATGACGACGGCGCTGGCGACGGCGACGCCCACGACGACGACGAAGACGATGACGGCGACGACGACGACGACGACCACGACCACGACCCCGACGACGACGGTGATGACGGTGACGACGACGGCGGCGGTGGCCGCGGCGACGGCGACGCCGACGGCGGCGGCGACGACGACGACGCCGACGACGACGACGCCATCGACGGCGACGGCGCCGACGGCGCCGACGACGACGACGACGACGACGACAGCGACGGCGGCGGCGGCGGCGACGGCGACGGCGACGGCGATGATGGCGACGACGACTGCGACGCCGACGCCGACGCTGACGACGACGACGGTGACGACGACGCCGCCGACGACGACGACAGTGACGACGACGACGGCAAGGCGACGGCGACCACGACCTCGACGGCGCTGACGACGACCGCGACGACGACGGCGGCGAGGGCGACAGCGGCAACGGCGACGACGAGCACGACGCCGACGGTAAAGACGCAGGCGACGCCGACGACGACGCCGACGACGACGTCGACGACCACGCCGGCGACGACGATGACGACGACGACGACGACGACGGCAGCGCCGTTGATGACGACGACGATGACGACGACGACGGCGACGACGACGACGACGACCACGGCGACGGCGACCACGACCTCGACTGCGACGACGACGACCGCGACGACGACGACGCCGACGGCGGCAGGGGCGACGGCGACGGCGACGACGCCGACGCCGACGCGACGCCACAGACGATGCCGACGACGACGCCGATGACGAAGACGACGACGACCACGCTGACGACGACGACAACGACGACGACGACGAAGACGACGACGACAACGACGACGCCTACGACGACGACGACGTCGGCGACGACTACGACGACGGCGACGGCGACTGCGACGTCAACGGCGACGGCAACGGCAACGGCGACGGTGACGACGACGGCGGCGATGCCGACGACGACGACCACGACCACGACCCCGACGACGACGGTGACGACGGCGACGACGACGACCATGATCACGACCACGACGACAGCGAATTAGGCGGCGGCGAGGATGTCGACGGCGCTGGCGACGGCGACAGCGACGGCGACGGCGACGACGACGACGACGACGCAGACGCCGACGCCGACGACGACACGACGACGATGACGACGACGACGCCGACGACGACGACGACGACGACGACCACGACCACGATCACGACCCCGACGACGACGGTGACGACGGTGACGACGACTGCGGTGGTGGCCGTGGCGACTGCGACGTCGACGTCGATGGCGGTGCTGACGATGACGACGACGACGATGACGACGGCGCCCACGACGTCGACGACGACGACGACGACGACGACGTTGCCGGCGGCGGCGGTGGCGGCGGCGGCGACGGCGTCGAGGTCGACGACTTCGACCACGCAAACAATGACGCCGACGACAACGACGACGATGGCGACGACGACTACGACGGTGGTGGCGGCGACGGCGACGGTGACGACGACGACCACGCCGACAACGACGACGCAGACGACGCCGACGACGACGCCGACGACGACGACCACGACCACGCTGACGACGACGACGACGTCGGCGGCGGCGGCGACGACGACAACGACGCCGACGATGACGGCGATGACGTTGACTTCGACGCCGACAACGACGGCGCCCAGGTGCTCGGCGAAACCTTTTCGCCTTCGAGAGTTCCCCGTCGGGGGGGGGCCCAGGGCGAGCAGCTCGACGCCGACGACGATGATGACGACGACGACGATGACGACGCCGACGGCGGCGGCGGCGGCGGCGGTGCCGACGGCGACGGCGACGGCGACGGCGACAGCGACGGCGACAGCGACAACGACGACGACGACGGCGACGACGACGACGCCGACGCCGACGACGACGACGACGACATCGATGACGCCAAGGTGCCGTGGGGGGCCCCACACGCACAACAAGGAATCTGGCCGAAACGGGAGTCCCCCATCGGGTCTCGGGCGAGCAGCTCGACGCAGTCCAGTCCTCCTCCTCCACCTCGTCCTCCTACTCCTCGTCCTCATCCTCCTCCTCCTCCTCGTCCTCCTCCTCCTCCTCCTCCTCCTCCTCCTCCTCCTCCTCCTCCCCTCCCCTTCTCTTCCCTCCTCCTCCTCCTCCTCCTCCTCCTCCTCCTCCTCCTCCTCCTCCTCCCCCTCCTCCTCCTCCCCCTTCCCTCCTCCTCCTCCTCCTCATCCTCATCCTCTTCCTGCGCGCGTCCCGCCCCGTAGCCTTACTGGCGCCTGCACCGGCTTCGGCCTGCTTCTTGCGCCCGCCGGCTTTACAGAAGAGTTCGCGGGATGGTTGCGGCGTGAGCCCATGCCGAAGTTCAGACTGGGTTTCGCCACTTTTCCGACGGCCCCGTCAGGCCTCCTCCCCTCCTCCTCCTCCTCCCTCCTCCTCCTCCTCCTCCTCCTCCTCCTCCCCCTTCTCCACCTCTTCCTCTTCCCCCCCTGCTCCTCCTCGTCCTCCTCCTCATCCGCCTCCTCCTCCGCCTCCGCCTCCTCCTCCTCCTCCTCCTCCGCCTCGAGTCCTTCGAACTCGAGTCTTCTGCCTCCCCAGCAGGAGCCGCTGCTGCGCTCCAAGATCCTCAGCGGGAGGCCGCACGGCACGGTCTTCAGCGCGCAGGAGGGGGTCATCCCCGCATTCCTGGCGGGAGGGAGGGAGGGAGGGAGGGAGGGGGAGGGAGGGAGGGAGGGGGAGGGAGGGAGGGAGGGAGGGAGGAGGGAGGGAGGGAGGGAGGAGGAGGGGGAGGAGGAGGAGGAGGAGGAGGAGGAGGAGGAGGAGGAGGAGGAGGAGGAGGAGGAGGGGGAGGAGGGGGAGGCCAGGGCTGCCCAGACGCAGCTGCAGTCTCAGCGCTGGGGCGCGGTGCCTCGGGACGCATGGCTTGGCCTGGACTAAAGTCGGGCCTGTCCCTCTACAGGGGGAATATTTTTTTGTTTTGAGCATATGTTGAGCGCTTTTTGTATTTTTGGGCATCTGTTGAGCATTTTTTTTGTTTTTTTATTTTTCGTCCAAAATCCCCCTGTAGGGGGACAGGCCCGACCTAAGCCTAGACGGTGTTTTGGCGGTTTCGTGGAGCGCTTTCGTGTTGACCCCGCTTCGCAGCGAACGCGGAACGAAGACAGAACGAGCGAAGACGAAAACGGAAAGCATTGTCGAGTCAGCATCGCTTGACTTATCCCCATTCCCACTGGCCCATGGCACCTCAGCCCCACCATCCCACCACCCCAGTTGGGGATAGGCCCCTCGAATCCCGCAGGAAACAGGCTTTCCCCCCTCCAGGGGGGCAGTTCGGCCAGTGGGGCCCAGGCCACGCCAGCGGGGATATGGATCGGTGAGCCAGTGCTCATTTTGGTCGAGCCGTGTCAGGACGTGCGGGAGCCGGCACGGAGCCCCACGGCGGCGCTGGGCAGTAGGCCCAGCGGTGCCCCCGGTGCTGGCGTCGGCGGGCATGGCGGCGACGACGGCGTACCTTTGCCATTCGAGACCCCCGCGAAGTCGCTCCGTATCGACGACTGTGTCGTCGATGTGAACGGCCAGAGGTCGAGGAACCAGAACCGGGACGACTTTGCCATCGAGGTGGACGGCCAGAGGTCGAGGAACCAAAAACGACGTAAGCACAGATTTGCGGAGCTCCGCGCGGATTTCTTGGATCGGCCCCTGGCCCCCTGGCGGCGCCCCCGGCGCCGCCCCTGGCGCGCTCCGCGCGCCAGGCAGGGGGGTCGGCGCCGATCCAAGAAATCTCCGCGGAGCTCCGAAAGTTTATTTGCACGCCACTTCCCGGCGGCGAGCGACGGGGGGAAAGGAGCAGGAGAAGGCCCTCCCGGAAGGCGGCGGGACTTCTCAGAAGCCCTCACGCCCTGTGAGAAATCGCTTGCCTGTCTTCGGGGAAGTCCTAAGCAAGATCTTCTCGGAGGGCCGGGGGACTGCCGAGCCTTCTGAGGAGGCCCTCTCCCTTCTCCTTCTCGCGTCCTCCCTCGCTCGCTTCCCCGAGGGGGTGCCTCGCGGCGGGCGTGGTCGCGAGGCTGCAGCAGCAGCAGCTGCAGGCCCCGGACAGCGCCGGTGGCCTGGCGCCCTCGCCCGAAGCGCAGCAGGCGCGAGCCTCGAGCGTTGACGGTGGTGCTTCGGCCAATGCCACGAGCGTTGACGGCGGCGCTTCTCCCATGTCAGGACTAAGTCGGGCCTGTCCCTCTGCAGGAGGCAAATTGAAAAATAGTTGAAAAAGTAGTCACGGGACGATGCTTGGGGCATTCTTGGTATTTTGCAGGTCTGGTTGGGGTATTTTTTTGAGTTTTCGCCGAAACCTTCCCCTGTATGGGGGACAGGCTTAACCTACCGCCAGGACGGGAGGCCAGGCAGCGCCGCTACCAGACCCAGCGCAAGAAGCATCAGAGGTCAGCGAAGAGAAAGGATACCGATGCCGATGCCCCTCCCTCCCCGCCGTGGCTGGATTCGCCCCGAAAGAGTTGAGAGGAGGCCTCTTGGGAGAGGTCGGGGGAGCAGCGGTATGGGCACCTCTCTGTCCTTCCGGCAGGATGGTCAAGAAGATGGTCAGGCGCGGTGAAGTCCTGGTGGGCACTACCGAGCCACCTCCGGGCTCAGCGGTGCCGACGAGCGCCGAGGGCGCGCCACTGTCGCCTGCGGCTGGCGAAGCGCGCGCTGGGTAGCCGGGCTGCGAGCGGAAGCGGGACGGCGAGCAGGTGCTGGTGGAGGTGACGCGTTCTTTGTCAGTGCAGGCCTATGATATATTCCCCGAGACCCAGTGGTTCGACGGCAGGTTAGGTGCGATCGAAGTGGGCACGGAGGAGGCCAACAGCAGTTTTTGTCCGCTTTTCCCCGGCGGTTTTGCGCGGCCTCGCGGCCAGACACCGCGACCAAGGGGGTGGGGTTCCGAAGGGCGAGAGAGGTCAAGACGCCAGGAGCACAGCATGCGATTGTCCACACCACCAATTCGGAGGAGGAACGGGCACCAATGGATGGTGTTTTCTTTATTGTTTGGGGCATAATGGGGGCATAATGGGCATTATAGCCCCCGACCCCCCGCCCCCCCAAAAAAAGCTAACGCCCCTCCTCCCCCAGTGCGCTCCGGACATTGCCGCCGTGCGCATCGGGCACACGGCGGCGGGGAGGCATTACATTATACCCCCCCCTGGCTCCCCCCCTCCCCCTATAATGTCAACTATTGCAGAAAATTGCCGTGGCGACGTACCCAACCCTTGCGCACGAGTAGCCTGGGACACGTCATACAGAGGTGATGTGACGTGACATGGGCCCATATAGCCGAGCGCGGGCGATAATAAACTTTACCCCCTCTTCATCCCTCCTATTTTTTCCCCGGCCAACAGGATTTCCTGTAATTGTGGAGAGGGGCGCGGAGGCCGAAATTTATAATCCACGGGGAACGTTGCAAATCGAAGTTGCTATCATATTGTGTTGACTAGCAACAGCACCAAAAACGCTGAGCATGGCCATGGTGGTCTCACCACACCAGCTTCCGCAATCATGACCGTGTGGCAGGGCTGCGGGATTCTCCCCAGTTCAGTTTGCCCACGTTACGAACGCGCGGCAGAGCCATGGGATTCTCATTTTCTTAGCCGTTCCCGAGTCAGGAACGCGTGGCAGGGCCATAAGAGACCGATTGGATTTTGATTGCGCATGCGTTTTTCGAGCAAGCAGAGCATTGGAGTTGAGTGCATTACTTTTTTAGCGCGCCCTCACACGGTTCGTGGCCCTTCCTCCTCCTCCTCCTCCTCCTCCTCCTCCTCCTGGAGAAGGCTGCGTTGGCTAAGGCGGCTGAGCTTTCGCAATTGCAGAAGGATGCGGCAGAAGCTGAGTCCAAGGCGGCAGCCCAGAGGGTGGTCATCGTGGAGCTCGAGGGCCAGCTGCAGCAGCTGGGCAAATCTGCTCCGCAGCCTCCTGATGGTGCTAAGCCTGCTGCTGGTGGACAGATCGACACGTCGGTGCTGGACGCTTTGCTGGGGGCGGCTGGCATTCATGGAGAGTTACTCGTTGCGGTCAAGGCCAACCCGCTGGTGGACAAACTGGTGGTACCTTTGCAGGCGTCTGATGGGAGTGGAGGTTCCACTGGTTCGGATGGCGAGCCGTCCCAGAAGAGGCCGAAGATCAAGGAGCCCGACTTTGACGAGATGGAAGAAGACAAGTTGCGAGAAGGTCTCTCGGCAGTCGGCTTTGTCGGAGAGCTACCGTCAGAAGTTGAAGAGTTGCGGGCGATGGCCAAGAAGGCCTTCAGTGGCGCGACGGCCTGGAGCCCGTATTAATAGCTGGATAATCATGCTTGTGCTACGATGTTTATTGTCGTTTGCCATGATGATGTCTGGTACGTTCTCAAGTTCGTCTCTGCCTACTACCTCGACCTCGGGGGGTTCGGCATGCAGCGCTGGGAGTTCGGGGGCGACTGGGTCCTCGGCGTCGAGCGGTGCACTCACTGGGCCTGTTGCGAAGCAGGCTCAGCAGAGGTCGCCACATGTGCTACCTCCTACTGGCGAGACATGGTCGACATGCGGCTTGTCTACTTCGATTTCCGACGCCAGCGGCTGTATGCACTGCTCACCACCTTCGCCCTCGGCGGCATCGGGTGGCAGAGGGTACCAGCAGCCGCAGGCGATTCTCTCGTTTCCTGTGGAGCTCCTAGCAGTTTCGAAAAATGTGTCAGGACAGCCACCTGCGCAACTCTTACATTCAGGTGAGTGCGGTGGCGATGAGAGGGTGGTCAAGGGCCTCATCACGACGGTGAATGTCTCGAACGGCGGCCCTCTCAAGTTTTTAGCAGCTGGCCCGCCCAGCTCCATCATCGCGGTGCAGGAGCATCATGGCATCTCGTCTCGGCTGGGTTCGTTGCAAAATCGGGCGAAGGATCTCGGCTATCATGGTGTGTGGAGTGCTGCGGTGCCGTCTGAAGGTGGTGGTACCTCTGGTGGCGTGGCGATCCTCACCAAGACGCACATCTCGGTCACTGCGGCGCCCTACTTCGACCAGGATATTGCGCCTGGAAGACTTTGTGCTGCTCATGTTCACTGGGGAGTGCGCAATGGCATCGTGGTTGTGTCAGCTTATTTTCATGATTCGGTCGGGCTCAATGACGAGAACGCGTTCATTCAGGCCCACCTGCAACACTACTTGCTGTTGCTCTCGGCTTTAAAGCTTGACTGGGTTTGTGTAGGCGACTTCAACATGAGCTCGGATGTGTTGATGACAGGTTGGAACCAAGGGTTTCCAGGAGTTCATTGTGTTCCGCGGGAGAATGCTTGTGTGAAAGGCCAAGGCAGCATCATCGACTTCGGCATAGTTTGCAGCAATTTAGCTCTGCGGGTGGACCCACCTTGGGTGGACCTGGAGTCTGAGCTGTATCCACATCACCCTGTCCATTTTCCCTTGGCTGTGAAAGACGTTGAGGCGTGGGCTCGCCTGCCTGTCGAGCCTCGTGGCTGGGGGCCCGAGGCCCCGATTGGCTGTGCGCCTTTCCCGCGGACTCGTGAATGGGAACGTGCATTACATTGTGTTCTGACAGCTGAGGGCCAGGTGGGCCTACAGCGCGCTTGGGATCAGGTGTTGCATAGTATTGAATGTGAGCTTTCTGATCGATGGGGACACAGACATTTGGATCGTTCGTCGCATGGAGGCCGTGGGTGCGACGTTGCCTTTCGCATGGTGAAGCTTGAGTGGAAGCCCCCGCGGCGTAGAGTGTACCAGACCCAGCAGGTGGCGGCGCTGCAGGTGGCAGCAGGCTGGCTCAGGCATGGTCGCGCTATGTGGCAGCATGTTTGTGAACTTGGGCAGAGGCTGATGGCGGCCAACGTGGTATGCTCGGTCACTATTGGTCAGACGTCTCGTGTAGTTGAGTTGCTGTGTGAGCTGAATCAGTTCTACTTGAAGATTGGTCGGGCGTCGGAGACGCTTGGCAAGCTGGATGTGGACCTGGCGCAGTTCCTGGCTCGTGGCATCACCGTTTGGACAGACCCCGTGGCTGGACACACAGTACAATGCTTCCTGGATCGTGCTGATGACGCTAGGAAGAAGTTCGAGCGTGAGCAAAGGGCCAGTTTGCGTCAGTGGGCTCGTGATGCGTTAAGTGGCGGTGCTTCAATGGCGCATCGTTTTACTCGTGTTCATCCGTTGCAGGAGGTGCTGGAGCCGACCACTCGGGCCAGCCCCCATCAATTAGTGCAGCGGGAGATGGAAAAGTGGACGAAGATCTGGACGGTGCATGGCCTTACGCAGTGGTCTCGGCCCTCCGACTTCGACGACTGGGACCGCCTGCCCGAGATGTCCGTGGCCACGCTGCGGGCTGTTTGCCTGCAGTTCAAGGCGAAGACTGCGGTGGGTCAGTCGGGGATTGCTCCTCGAGCGTTGTGGCACCTCTCGGACGCAGGTCTCATCGCGCTGTCAAAGTTGTTTCAGCGGCGCGAGAGTTTGGGATTCTGGCCAGACAACCGCATATTCACCACGCTGGCTAGGCTGCCGAAGGAAGGAGGTGGGTCTCGTCTCATCGCCTTGGTACAGACGCTGGTTCGGGTGTGGGCTAAGGCCCGCAGCTCCATCAGTCGGCAGTGGGTTGCTCAGACAGACCTTCGCGATGTCTGGGGAGCTGGAGGCGCTGGTCGCACTTCCTCGGCGGCGGCGTTCGAGCATAACCTGATGGTGGAGGTGGCGTCGCTGCTGGGCTGGCACACGGCGGCGGCGGCGGTTGACGCGTGGAAGGCCTACGAGTCCGTCAGCCCTGGCGAGCTGCTTAGTGAGGCCCGCCACCATGGTTTTCCCCTTCGGCTGGCCTGGATGGTGATCGAATGCCATCGCCAGCCGAGGGCACTGAAGGCGTTCACTTCCTGTTCAGAGGCCTTTGTATCATGGCAGGGCATGCTTGCAGGCTGTGCCCATTCCACCTCCCTCCTCGCGCTCCTCACCCTGCGCTCTGTGCGGCGAGTCCGAGCGAGTGGCGTCGTGCCCCGCGCATTGGTCGATGACCTCACGATTCAGTGGGTGGGGGCGGAGGCGGGTGGGACCTCTAAACTGTTCACTGCGCTGGCCAATTTTAAAGCTGATGTTAAACCTCTGGGAATCGTTCTCCAGGACTCGGCCTCGGGGAAGTCTGGCTACGTGGTGGCCAATCGTAAGGTCCTGCGGGCCTCGAAACCCTGGGCTCGTGCGGTTCGGCTGGAAGCCAAGCGTAACGTGCGGAACCTTGGTCACGAGCTCTCTGGGCGTGAGCGCAGGCGGCCGCTCACCCGACAGAGAATTGCTAAGCTTGGTCGTCGCATGAAGCGTGTTTATCCTCTGCAGAAGGCGGCTGGGACTCGGGTGTCCGTCCTGTGGCGCACTGGCCTGCTCCCAGGTGCTAGTCATTGCTGCGCCGTTTCTGGGACCACGGACGCCGAACTTCGGAAGCTGAGAGCTGCTGCGGGGGCTTTGGTTGGCGCCAAGGGTCGCGGGGGGTCCCTGACGGTCTACTTGGCGTCTCAGGCGGATCCGTGGTGTGACCCGATTTTTGAAGCCACGATTGCCCCAGTCGAACACTACGCCCAGGTTGTTTGGATGCAAACTGTGTCCCTGGGCACTCTCGAGAGGGCCTGGAGGGCCTTGGCCGAAAAGCGGGGTCAGAAATTCTCCTGGCCCCATGCCTCGGGCCCGCTTTCGGTGGTGGCGCTGTCTCTCCTTCGCGTTGACTGGTGCATGGAGTCTTCTGTGCTGATCCGTTCCGATCAGGGAATGGTGTACTCTTTGCTACAGATTGATCCGCAGCATTTAATCAAGTTGCTTCGTGCTGGCATCCAGCGCTGGCAGATGCGTCGCATCCAGGCTCATTTTCCTGGTTTCCCCGCGGACGCCGAGTTGTGGCCCCGTGGGATCCGCGCTTGCGCTGGGTCCAAGTGGGCCGCGCTCAAAA